ATGAATTATCATCTTTGATAATTGATACGAGATTTTCAGAGTTTTTTTTCCAATTTAAATTTATATCGTTTTCCACTTGCTTTGCAAGTGCAAACTCTCTAATTTCTTGCATTTTTTGCTTTGCGAATTTGCTGTCTGAAAATATAATAAATATTTTTATTTTATTTTAAACACAAAGACATTTTATATTCTCATTTATTAGTTTTCACTTTTACTTTTATTTTCTTATAAGAAAATATAATAAGTACTATAGTACTTCATGTATTCAATATAATACAATTTTCACTACAGAGATATTTAGAAATAAAAGAGAGAACATATAGAAAACATAGTTAATAAAATAAATTGACCTATTATAAAACGTTGTTTTTCTTCTGATGATAATTTTATATAATATGTATCTCCACTAATTGTATCTTTTATTGTGATGCATTCCATTTTGCTTTCCTTACTTATTTTGTTTTTTCTTATTGATGTACTCTTCAACTCGAGTTTTATCTCCTTTCTGTCTTTTTCTAAAATAAAGTTAAGTTTTTCTACATTTTAAAACTTTTGTTTGTCTTGGCTAATAGTGCTTACGCTATAGGAGACCTACTTATTTCGAGATAGCGCGTGATAGCGTGACTGAGTGATGTTTTCGCTAAGAAATTATGACGTCATAGTTTCACCGTAGCGCTACAAAGTGCCAAGACGAACGACGAAAACGGTGAGGTGTAAGGCCTGGTTTATGCGGGCAATAACTGTTAACTCATGCCGGAACTGGTAAAGTTTAACTATAGGATTTCAATGCTTCTGTTCATACGAAATTGCCGAATGCGTATAAACAGAAGTATTGGAATCCTATAGTTAAACTCTACCGGTTCCGGCATAAGTTAACAGTTATTGCCCGCATAAACCAGGCCTTAGCGAAAAAGTGGCCAAGACGAACGCACCCATACATACACACACACGTAATAAAATAGAAAGAGAGAGAATAATAAAAAGAATAAGAGGATAAGACAGCGATGCTATTGGCTACATGACTAACTCGCGCATGGGCAGTTTCATTTTGGAAGAACTGCTCTACTTGTTCTTTTTCTGCGCAGCTTTGCGCGGGAAAAGAAGTACGCGAACTGTATTGGAACGTCACTTAACCATAAACGCTCGGCTACGTACAAAAAAGTGAAAGATACAAATAAAATTATATATTTAAACTAACAAAAAAAATGGCGAATAAACTAATGAGAGATTATAATAAGGATAAAGGTATGATATCTTGCGGTTTTAATTTAATTTCTACATTTGTGTTTATAAGCAAAATTGATTTACTTGACTCAATTAACAATGAGTAATTTTGTGTAATAATGTTAAACATAAATCACTAAAGTTGGCTTGAATTTTACTAATTTTCGGGCTTGAATTTTTCAGACCAATTAAAGACATTTTTCTTGGAATTCGTGACAACAAACGACAAGGAAGGAGAAAATAAAATCTTCAAGTATAGGCAACAGCTGACCAAAATAGCACATAGAGATCAGATCAGTTTTGAGATTGATTTGGATGATGTACAATCATTTGATGAAGATTTGGCAACAGCTATTGCTTACAACACAAGAAGATATACTAATTTGGTATTAAATGTATGTATATATTGCTTTAAGTATATTAAAAAAACATATTTATAACTACTTACTATTGTGGTTTAATAAATACACAAGTAAATATTGTAAATAAATTTATATAGATGGAACACTAATGCTTATAGAAGTATAAAGTTTATCACATAGGAGTATAAATTTGTTTGCAAATAACATGTGCATATGTATTAAATTACTTTACATATTTTAATATTTTTATTTTTATAAATAAACTTTTAATGCTTTTTTAACTAGTTGGTTCAAGACATGCTTCCTGATTTTAAAGAAAGAGCAGTTTTACCTAAAGATTCATTGGATATTTATATGGAACATCGATTATTAATGCAGGCACGTAATAAAAACCAGGGTGAAGCTCACGATAACAGAACACATTATGCTCCGGAATTGATGCGTCGTTTGTAAGAAAATTAAATATATATTTAAACAAACAGCTACAACTTGTGTTCACAAAAATTATTAGTATATTTCATTATTACAAAACTGTGTTTTTTCTTTTAGCGAAGTATATTTTAGAGATTTCTCTGATGTAAAACCATGTGCGGTAAGAGATATTAAGGCAGATAAAATAGGAAAATTAGTGACAGTCCGAGGTATCGTTACGAGAGCTACCGAAGTGAAACCGATGATAGTTGTGGCAACGTACACGTGCGACGAATGCGGTTCGGAAGTGAGCCAGCCGGTAAAAAAAAAACAAAATTTTTACTTTATATTTAAGAAATATATATATCCTCTTCTTTATTTAATCTAAAAATGCTGTAACATTTAATATTCTAGTCTTATATTTAAAAAGAAATTTTTCTAACATAAATTACACTGATATTGTATAGGTGCAATCTTTAAGCTTTATGCCTGTACAAACGTGTCCGAGTGACGCGTGTCGTGTAAATAAATCCAGTGGTAGATTGCATCTGCAAACAAAAGGGTCAAAATTTATCAAGTTTCAAGAAATAAAATTGCAGGAACATGTAAGTTCGCAAATATTTATAAACGTACACAGATTTCCTTCAAATATTAATAGGCGCGTTTTACAGAGCGAACAAGTTCCAGTTGGCCATATACCACGATCTTTAACGATTTTCTGTAAAGGCGAGACGACAGCGCATTGTCTACCGGGCGATCATGTGATTATTACCGGTATATTCTTACCTTTTCTGAAAACTGGCTTCACCGCTAGATCTGCAGCTGCGTTGTCCAGTGAAACTTACTTAGAAGCACATGTAAGAATAAATATTTGTACAAACATATGGATTTCCGATCATTTTTTCACTTTTTATTGATATGAAACTAAATTTTTATTCGATTTCAGAAAGTGATGTGCCTCAATAACGTAGAGACGGATGATGTTAACGCCGAATTGACCGATGAAGAACTGAGTACACTGACGCAGGATGATTTTTACAATAAATTAGCCTGTTCTTTAGCACCTGAAATTTACGGTCTTGAGGATGTGAAAAAGGCATTATTGTTGCTGCTCGTTGGTGGAACAGACAAGAAAAAAGGCGACATTAAAATTCGAGGTGATGAGATAGACACATCACAGATATTAAAATAAATTCAGATGATTTGAGAAACTTTAAATATTAATTTTTGTATTGTGCAAATGCATATGCCAGAACAATGATGGGAGGAAATAAATTTATTCTGCTTGTTATATTAGGCAATATTAACATCTGCTTAATGGGAGATCCTGGCGTGGCGAAGTCGCAGTTATTGTCTTATATCACACGATTGGCTTCGAGGTCACAGTACACTACAGGAAGAGGATCGTCCGGTGTAGGTCTGACAGCTGCGATCATGAAGGATCCTTTCACCGGTCAAATGGTACTGGAGGGCGGAGCTCTGGTATTAGCTGATCAAGGAGTCTGTTGCATCGACGAGTTTGATAAGATGGCAGACGCGGACAGAACGGCGATACACGAGGTGATGGAGCAACAAACTATATCTATTGCCAAAGCCGGCATAATGACCCGCTTGAACGCCAGAGTTTCCATACTAGCCGCCGCCAATCCGGCATACGGCAGATACAATCCACAGAGATCGGTCGAGCAAAATATTCAATTGCCCGCCGCGTTATTGTCACGATTTGATCTATTGTGGCTTATTCAGGATCGCGCAGATCGAAGTAATGATCTTAAGTAAGTATGCAAAGTGTAGTGTTTTTACGTAGTAACGCTAATTTTATTGTTTTCTTTTTTGATCTGTTTGCATGTTATTGCTTTACGTATTTGTAATAAGTATAAATACGATAATTTTTCATAGACTAGCGCAGCATATCACTTATGTGCACCAACATTGCTCGCAACCTCCAACGGAGACTCAAGCAATAGACATGAAACTGATAAGGAAATATTTAAACCTATGTAAAACGAAAGATCCTGTTGTACCAGAGGAACTGACAGAATACATTGTTGGTATGTGTAAAAAACGTATATATTAGGTATCGCGTGTTTAATAAAAAGATTACTTAAAGTTTTACTGTTGTATTTGCAGATTCTTATGTGGCAATGCGACAAGAAGCGCGTAACAGCTATGACAAGACATTCACTTCTGCTCGAAACCTGCTGGCTATTCTCCGATTGTCAACCGCATTAGCCCGGCTACGATTGTCGAACGTGGTCGACAAAGATGACATAGCAGAAGCGAACAGATTGCTAGAAATGTCCAAGCATTCCATCAATTATTCCGAGCAACGTCCGAACATTGCGCAACAGAATCCGATTAACAAGATCTTCCATTTGATACGGGAACTGGCCGGCGATAAGAAAACGGTCAAGGTGTCGGACATTCTGGAACGATGCACGAGCAAGGGTTTCAATCCTGATCCTGTGTACAAGTGCATTGAAGAATATGAAGCATTGAATGTTTGGCAGGTCAATCAAACTAGAACAATGATTACTTTTATTTAATTGTAAGAGACAATATATACATATTTATGTGGAATTCAATGCTATTTTGAATAAAAAAAACTTTTGTATTTGAAGACGAAATATTATATAATAATATTCATAAAAATCAGTTTTTTGTACGAGACAATAAACATTGAGTGTATCATTACTGAATGCATACATTTACATTAATACCAGTGTCATGTTGTATATAAAATACATCGTAATAATATATGATAGTAATGGAAGTATATGGCAGGACTAATATAATTGAAAAAAAAAAAAAAAAAACACTAGTTCATCAAAGACTCAAATAAAGCATTGGCAACATAGCACACACTCCAACGCTTCATCCGAGTCAATTTGGTTGATAATACACGATTTCGTTGTTGATGTATTTTTTGTGACTTCTAAGAAATGATGATAAAACAAAACTTGGTAATCTTACTTCATAAAAATATACAGACCAAGTTAATTTTATAAATTTAGCGGAGAAATCACTGAAGCTCTAATGATGTATACTTAATGCATCACTTTGCACTTCATGACTCAATTGTGTCTGTAAATTTGATAATTTGTTTTTTAACGCAGCAATTCCCATCATAACGATATTTTCAGGCTTTAAGGCACCGCTGCTTTCTACGTTGAAATAATATTTGTTGGGTTTGGCTTCCCAATCAAATGATGCTTCATCTAAAAAAAAAATAAAAAATATATTTCAAAAATATTAAACTTATATAAAACATTTGGTACAAAAGTTCATATAAAAATTATGCTCACACTGATCTTCTTCCAGTTCGCTGTATTCTGATTTGGGCCATTCATCTGGCTTAGGATATAAAGTATGTCTCATAGCATTGTCCGGATCATATTCAAAGCTTACACCTGCAGTTGGATTCCATTTTGCATGTTCCTTTCCAAAACCTTTTTTCGCATATGCTCTGAGTTTGAGCTCCTGGCCCTTTCTTAGTTTTACTATTAATATTTCTGTAATATATTCCAAATAAAATTTATATTATTTTAAATCAAGATCAATTATCTGTAATATATATCACACACAAAAAAAAATAAATAAGAACCATCGGATTCTCCATATTCATTTGTTTCATCTTCTCTGTGTCTTGATGTAACAGGTAAAACTCTAGGATCGCTAGATTTAAGATCTGCTGTTGTCACATGTCTGGTTGTATCTTCTGTACATTTGACATCCAATGTAAATTCTACACTACATTCCGGACAAAAATCCATGCACGAGCAATCTCTGGTATATTGTATCCTGTCAACCACCTAAACAAGAAAGAAATTTTTTCTCTTCACACATATATATTTAAACTATCTCATAATGGAGAAAAATTCTATTAAGTATGAATAAGAAAGAGATTAACGCATCAAGCGTATTAATATTACATCGTCACTGATCAATGGTATCATTCCAATTCTGTGTGCTAAGAACTCATCACTCAGTACTGTAGAATTAGCTTCCAGCTGTATCCAGTCAATGGCCATAGTAGGGGTCTCGGCAATGAAAACTCGTCTCATGCTATTTGCAACGCTGAAATAAACGTGTGTAATCAATTTTTAGACATTACAAGTCCAAAAAAGGACTTGGAACTTAAATCTAACCTGATCCAATTGCGCCAAACTCACCTCAAATTCGTATCCTCGACTTGAAATTTAACATTTTCTTCGGTTAAGTCCGAGATATGAACCGACGGCTGATTAGCGTACGGCATTTTACTTTGTTAATTACTCTGTTTTTAATTCTCGTTTATTTGTACATTTGCCAAACACACCAATCATACAACCAATAATATGGCTAAGAGCCAGTTCATCAGCGGCAAAGTCGTATCGTATCCTTGAATCAGAAAAATTCGGTCGTTCGGTTGGTACTCCGTACAAAATGGTTCGTGTCCTGGCAACCCTGACAAAAGCGTATACGCCAGAATGCGATCGTGACGGAACCAACACACGCAATTATTGAAAAACGCAGTCGATTTGGCGATATACTAGTATCATTGTTCCGCGAGAGAAGTTAACGTTCCGTTGTCTATGTGCGATTATCGCGGGGCCTCGTGTTATCACCGTATAGGTTATAATAGCGTGTACGTAAGATCAGAATAATAACTAGAAAGAACACATAAAAAAAAGAAGAGAGAGAGAGAGGGAGAGAGAGAAAGTGCGAGTACGCGTAATATATCGATCCTTTTGTTATTTTCCACGCGTAACGTATACACGCGGGCGATAAGAGTGACAGATAGGTAGAGAGAGAAAGAGGAAAAGAGTGTCATGTTTGAATGAGAGAGACAGAGAAGATAACACAAAGGAGAGGTTAGGAAATGCTCGGTGTTTTCTTTTGTAAGAACTGTCTTCGCAGAAGTCAGATGATTCATCCCTGGAGGACGTTTTTGCAAACATCGTCTGCGCTCTTCACAAATGTCAAAAATGCTTTATCGCACGGCGCTTATCTCCTTGTCTTGTGGATGAATGATTGTCTCGGCCGCGATCTCGTTTGTCAACATTTCGATTTGTTTCCAGAATTGTCTCGCGAGATACGTAAACTTCGCTACGGTTCACCGGTACGCAAGGGCGCGAAAATTAAAAAAAAAAAAAAAAAAAAATCGACCGCGATCGAAGGTTTGAGATTTTTCGTTTCGAAAGGAAGAAGGAAAGTGAGACACTGTAAAAACTATATACAAAAAACTACATAGTTGCGATAACTCGGCGTCGTAAAAAAAAAAAAAAAAAAAAAAGAACGAATGTGTTTCTTTGTGGTGTAGCCGTGACACAGTTTACAGAACTCGTGACCACGAATATTTGAAATTGATCATCACGGCCAGTCTCACGGTGTTGTCGCTCGCATACTAATCTATATTTTTGCAACAATTATCGACACCTTGCGCACTTGCGAAGGTTTACACTAGGATAAGCAAGCAAACCTGTATAGCGCGAGATAAGATAGGAGAAAATAAATTTACGAGGCGAAGTTAGACGGTTACTTTGCGTTTAGATACTTGGTGCAGTAATAATATTGAATTCGCGGATGAGAGAAGTGACGGTGTTTAATTTTTCACAATTCAGTTTCTCAATATTTTCCGTGCTGCAATATACATAAAAACATTTAAAACGTTTGTCACTCATATTATTTTTATCAACGAAACAATAGCGAGTAATATTTAAATGCACTTTGCGTCTTTTGTATAATTGCATCGGTTTCGATTTCATTCAATGAAATAATTGACAAAAGCGCGCGAATCGTTTAATTGCAGAGATAATTACCACTGCACCCCGTCTGCTATTAATTATGACGACTCGAGATACAAATGAGGATCAGCTCGACAATCTACCGCACGTGGAATGGAACAGCACGGCATCTGGAGCGTCTGGAAATCTGATATTCCCTTCTCCACTGAGCCCCTTGAAATGTCAGATAGCCGGTCATCCTTTTAATGGCGTAAAACACACTATTGGTAAGTATACTTTGTAAACCAATGAGTTTTTTTTATGTACGCAAAATTTCAAATATTTTATAAAAAAAAAAGAGTATTAAGAAAGACATGCGTGTAAATATTAAAATGTTTCAAATCGGTCGCGAATATTTACAATGACGAATGTTATATCCACAATTGAACGTTGTTACACATAAAAATAAGAATGTAATTGTCTATATGATTACAGGCATGCTGGTGTGCAGGAAGACTGGAAACGTGCTGAAACCGGCGACTAAAGTGATCCTCGGAGAAAGAGAAATAGCGTTCTACGAGAATCTGAAGAATTCCCGGAACCCTACAATAGTGCAATTAAAAAAACTCGTTCCATGTTATTATGGCACGACGGAACTGTGGGTTTTTAACAAACGTAAGTATTGTCTTCGTAAGTGAAAATGCGGTATAAAAATGTTTCTTCCCTAACGCATAAAATTCTCTCTTGTTTGTTCGATGACAGGTACAAAGTTCCTCAAGCTTAGGAATATCACGGACGGCATGGCTGAGCCATGTGTGATGGATATCAAGATCGGCCGTCGCACGTGGGATCCTCTAGCCACGCCCGAGAAGAAAGCAACGGAAGAACTCAAGTATGCTGAATCGAAGCGTGCTTATGGTTTTTGTATAACCGGTTTTCAAGTATATTGTCACTCCACTGGACGATTAAAAAAATTTGACAGAGATTATGGCAAGAAACTCGATGCCAAGGGCGTCGTAGAAGGTATCTGCTTTAGAGTTTTAGGAGATAAACGAAGTCGATTCTATATAACATAAAAGAGAGGAAACTGTAACTTGGTGCAAAGCAAACCAATTGAAGATTCATGAAAAATCTATTTCAGGATATAGGAAGTAGTGAGTTTTCTCTTAAATAACCGAGATATCACGTTGTCCGCCTCCGATTCGAGCACGGCTAAGGCTAAGTCTTTTTAACTTACCGGTGATCGGCCGGAAATCGAAATTAGTGTACTTTTCAATTTGCGAAATATCAATGAATGCATTTTAACTTTAGAACGCCGAGAGAAGCTGTTATATTAGTGTCGTCCTCGATAGTTCTATCTTAATCAATATCGCGCGTATCAATTTTTTTGTTTGTATATTGTTTATATACTTTCTGACGTTATATAATAATAAATGGATTATTCGATAAGAGCGACAGTTCACATCGGCGTTCTAAAGTCAATAACAAAATAATCACCTCAGCTCAAACACGCTATTAAAATGTCGGTAATACGGTGTAATAAAAGAATGGATCTTTGCGACTGTGTTACCTCACGTACTGTCATAATTTAGAGATAAGACTTCGTTATAAGCTTCCTGTTTGGTGAAACCGCCGTTAAAAGATTTCTTCTTGTCTTCACGCAGCACTGAAAACTTTCTTGAACATAACACCTGAGAGGCCAGCCTGTCGACATTTGCTCTTCGAACTACTGTCATGTTTGGGAAGAATTATGCTGTTCTTTCGCATGCAGCGGAAGTATCGTTTCTACTCCAGCTCGTTACTGGTCGCCTACGATGCCAAAAAATTGCGGGAACACTATTGTGCGGATAGTAAGGATTCCAGTGAGCTTGCGAATTCCAAGATTGAAACTGTTTCCTTTTCGACAACAAGTACTTCTTTGAACACGAATACGTCTGAACAGTCCGCGCCAACCGTACCTGTATCCAGCGCAGGGATAAACAGAGACTGGACAGAGGCGCAAAAAAATAGACCAACGCTCAAAAGGAGCACAAGTTTCAATACTGAACCTATGCCGATAATGGGCGAACAGATATCCGATCAAAGCGGATCTTATAATCCGGATTTGAAGATGGATCGGCTGTGTCAATCTTGTCCGAGTCAATTTTCGCTTCCACAAACGAACAACGTCAAACGTAATGTAACGCAAGACAATCATGGTGTTCCAACGAACAAAGAAGAATGCAGCTGGGTTAGAGTGAACATGATCGACTTCACACACGTCTTCCCGGCGGACGACAATTCTGGTCTGGATTTAAATTACCTGGAAGGAATCGAAAACCTGATCACGCTCATAAACACACTTTACAAACAGGCTCACAAGCGCGACTCCAATCAAAATTGCAGCGCCACAATCGCGCAATAAAGCTATTATACTTGAGGAATGGTATATTATTTGACGATGTTCCAGAAAATGAACGGAAGAGTTAGGCGGAGACGGTAAGAATCTCCGGGCGGATAGAAGTGTAGACAGTGTTGGGGCCTTGTCGGATCGAGATGGTGTAGGACAAAGGAGAAAGGAATAATCAATTATACAGAGATCTCTTATGACAATTGTCAAGTTGAGAGAAGATATTATTCACTACTAAAAGAAAAACTATGTTGTCATAGTTTTTTCGAGAGTAGAAAATGCTGGAGAAGAATAAAACGGTTTATCGGATGTCAATGCACGGAATACGGCACTTTTATGCAAATCTACGGCAATGCGTTTCCTTTCGAAGATCTTCGACATTATTTGACGCGGAGTCGAATAGCGTAAATAACGAGAATTTTACCACGAAATTTGGAAACGCAAAATTTGGAGAAAAAAAAAAACAGCCCAAATACACAGGCGAATACAATACATTAACAATCATAAATCCAAATAGATACAAAAAAAAAACGTCTTCACAGAAAACAATAAAATAAAAAGACTTTTTATACTTTGCCAAAAGAAAAACTGTATAATGTAATGTATAGAATATCTATAGTAGGAATTTCATACGCGTTTAATTGTCCTTTAATCACTTTAGAGAAATAAAGAGCACCTCATTGTAAATGCCCGACAATTGTTCGAATTACGTTCGTACTACGACGATAATAAGTCGCATTTTGTAAACAAAAACACATTATACCGCGAATCGATGACAAAAAAGTCTTTTTCAAAGTACCATTATTATTGATTTTGCCATGTTACAAATATTTATATTGTACGCATAAAAAAATACAGATTATTGTAATTATACCAGCAGCAATAAATCATTACGATATATGTGTAGAATGGGGAATATAAATATTTATTGAACTCTTTTCACTCTAGAGTAGACTCGTCAAATATTTACATCACAGGCCAGCAATAGTTTACGTCACAGTGAGGATAATATAAATATACATTTGACGGCGCAGCTTAAGCTACGCGCGCGAAGCAAATCACAAAAAAACTTTAAAATCAATCAGCATCGCAACAAAAATATCAACTTTACATATCGTTTTTTTTTTTTTTTTTTTTTTTTTTTTTTTTTTAAGAGAAGATTAGACGCGGAATATTTTTTTGTTTTTTAATTAATCTTGTAACAATAAATTTCGTTATAATGAATTGTATACATTAATTTTTTGTAAGTCATCAGTTTCAACTTTCAGGAATAAGTAGACCTCTTTTGTTGTATAATATTTTATTCGCCAGTCACTCGTAAACAGTTTTTTTTTTACAGATCGTCGCCGATCGGCGGATGCGCCGCTGCGACAATGATCAACCGCGACAATAATAATTTGCTTAATCTCTCGTATAACATTTATAATAACACACGCGCGTATGCGCTCTTGCACGCACATGCGTATATATTATTTTATTTTATAAGAATGCGCGTACAAGTAAATGTACATACACAGCACATGTATATACATTATGTAGATTACTCATGATCACCATTCGCATTTGTCGCCTCCGTTACCTTGTCATTTACGCGTTTAATGCTTTCTCATTTAATTTCAATAAGAATTTATGTCGACTTTAATATCCGAAGGCTTTTGTCTAATCTAAATCCGGCCTCTTTCAAAAATTCAGTCTAACTTAATTTCAACCAATTTTATTTTTATTATTATTCAGCAATTTGTCACGTTAATTAAAAATCACAGAAATTTAGAACAGCCAAAGATGTTTTGCTGCAAGTTTGAAAACAACGGCATTTATGTGTTATTAAAAATACAATCAGACTGTTGTATTGCACAAGCAGCAGTTTTTAGTTCAGACAATAATAATAATAATAATAATAGTTAAATAAAATTATAATAAATCAATCGTGCTGATATCTAGCCGAAGTATTGTTGTTACGTTAAAATTGCCTCTTTTGTTTCTCATGTCGGGAAAATTTGCGTGCGAGATTTAGTCGCTTGATTTAAACAAGAACGCAAATGCTAACGAGATAATAATATAAGTAGCCCTACATATCACATAGTAAAGTCAAGGGGTGGGGGCAACAATAAATATTGCAAAACGAATTAAATAGCTAACACCATTGTGAAGCCTGGTCTACATAAAAATCGCAAGTCCAAAACAATTTTGGCTACTCGACAATTTGCGAGCGATCAATTTCGCGAGATCTACGACGATCTGCGTTTGCGATCTTACGTAGACCGGGCCTAACGTAAATAGTTCCATAGGAAACAGCGGATCTTGTTAGTGTGTGTATGATAAAATATGCAACGTACTAAGCTAAATACAGTAATACCTCCGACATATCGTCGAGTCCGTCTCTTCTTCGATACATTCTTTATCTCTTACAAAATCTTCCTTTTTTGTCATTCGAGCTAGTCCCACAAACCTGATTAGACACTTGAATCCGTGTCTTCGCGCTACATTCGCTTCGATCCCGCAACACTCGACGCTTCACACGGAGGTAGTACCGTAATTATTACACAATATAATATCAAACATATCTCTCTCTCTCACTATTTTTCTTCATTCACTTTCTAATTACATAGATAATTACATAATTGCAAAGCGATTCGATTAAAAAAAAAAAATAAAAAATAAAAAAATAAATAAATGATTAGTTTACAAACGATTAGAAAGATAAAGTCGTTCGTGCGTGTGTGTTTTCCATGAATTCAAGATAAAAAGCAAGAAAAGAAATCATGAAAAGAAGACAAATCACTTTGCTACGAGGCAAATGGCAATAACGACGAGAGACGCAATACGGCTTCGTGTTGAAAATGTTTGAATTCACGTTCGCATTTTCATTTACACGTTTCGTTTACGTACATTATATAATTAGTCTTCGCTATGTAACGTTATAGTTAACGGTTAATTCGTCCATAATTACTTCAGTTGCTTTATTAGCTGCTACTTTCATTTAGGTCGATATATTTATAACGTATATATCTATATATTTATATATATACATATATATATATATATATATACACATATATATACATATATATATATAAATATATATATAAATACAGCAAGCATTCGTTATATATTTACAATTCGATTACCTCATTTCCCCTCTTCTTCCGTTTACGCTCTCTCTTACTCTCATTCTCACTTCCGTTTTCTCACATCGTTTAATCTCGCTCTCTAGCGTATCTATTTTTTTTTTTTTTTTTTTAACGCACAATTCTTTTACACGATTCGCCAATAATATAATATATTAACATTTTCTTTTTCTTTGTCGAACAGCAACAATCACATATGGAGCCTATCTCGCGTCTCAACAATATTATCAATAATATAAATAACACATAAAATATGAAAAAGTACTCATGTGTCTCGTCGTGTCAAACTTCGTCGTGTCGAATTCGAAATGCATTATTGTATAGGTGCGACAGATTAATAGCTGCACAACGAGATCAACACGTCACGCGAAACTGATATCGACTGAGGTCGAAGACCCTCAATGGCATCGACACGGCGACGAACAAGGACGACGAGAACATGTTAAGAGCCACGACCTACGCGCGCACGTTCGCCTGACTGTGAATGCGCTGCCTAAATTCGCCCGACAAAGGCCACTACGAAATTGAAGAATTACGACGGCGAACTCGAACAATTGCGCGCTTGGCCCACGCTGAATTAGGCTCCTCGCCGCCAGCAAGCCCGCTCTCTCTCTCTCTCTCTCTCTTTCTCTCTCACCGGATTTTCGATCTTATTAGCGCTCTAAAAGGAAGGACCTTACGGACAATAGCGCGTCCGATTACGAAAGTGAATCAGACCTGTCGCGGACCGTTGTTCATCGATTCAATGGATTTAAGTGATCCAATTGGATATATACTGTAAGGTAAATACGGACTCGACCGTCGAAATTCTCTAATTACGGGCAATTCGATAATAATGCGCGTTATTGTCACGACGGGGTGACACATGCGAAATTAAAAATACATTTCTCTTTACACACTCTTCTGGCCTCGAAACACCACGCCTCTTCCTAACTCAAGAGCGAACCGCTCCTTCGCCCACGCTTTAGCTCGCTGTGTTATCCTAACATTATGGGGTAAACGTTTACAAAACTGTATAGAGCTCGTTTCTTTTCGGAGAGCTCGCGTAGAAACATTAGAGGCGAGTACACGGCGGAAGAAATTACAAAAGGAGAAGAAAAAGGCCACGCTATCTCTCTTTTTTTCTCTCTCTCACGCATACACACACAGTTACACGTTATAGCGAGAAAGTGCCCGGATTCCGCACACAGAGCGGCCGCTCTTCTTGTTCGAAGACGGCGAACAACGCGACGCTACGGCCAGGGATATTCAGAAAGGCACTCTCACCCCTCCTCAAAGATCCGAAAATCAAATGTACAAAACGAATACGGCGTCGCCGGAGCGTCGCGAGTCGCGCGGCCACTTTTGGATAAACCAACGGGAGGTCTTGTTATATTGTTAATTATTACTTTCTTACCAGTAACTGACGTAGAGTCAATCGAGATAATTGAGACACAAAAATCGAGATCGTAATATTTTTTCTCTTACGGTTAAATGATGTATTTCTTATTTTTATCGCGAACAAGGATAATTAGATATACTGATTAGTAGAGAATTAACTTTCAATCTCGATTTAAGAACATCGAAAAGAGATTTCCTCGGATTCTTTATGCACAATACGATTCGATCGCAGAAGATGCAAAAGCGGGATTAGAGATATAAGAACACATTTGTATCGGAAACGTCTCAACTTTAAAACGTTTTAACTTAAGCCTTCTTTAAAAAAAAAAAAAAAAACTAGAATAAAAATAAACAGAAAATTATTATACAGATAAAAATAGATTAAACAGATTAAAAATAAAGCAAAAAATACGCAATAAAAAAAAAATGAACATTATAGGCATATGTTGTACATTATGTAAAAATGTAAATTACATACGTTATGTAATTTAAAAAAGATATTTATATAACTACCAAAAAAAAAAATATCTAAATTAATAATAATTAATTTTGTTTCTGTATAATTTCAGAATCTCAATTATCCTGATTGAACAAACTGCTAGGTTTCGAGTGTCACATGCACGTTTCGCAACAAGAACATCGGAAGTTACAATGGAAACGGGTCGTTTTCATTTTTTCTTTGTTGTTGTAAAGCTAAATATATACTGCACAAAAGATATAACATCTTTAATTTTAATTAGTCGGATACAGTTTGATCGATTAACATTATATATTGCGAACATTTATTGAGATTAAAGTATCGATTTTTAAAAAGAGAATTATATTTTAGTGCTGGTCATGGAACGCTCTGAATGTTTTAAAAAATCACGTCAAAAATTCGATATTTTTGTATTACCAAATCGTGACTATGAATCACGCGCGACGATGCTTTCCCATTATATATGATCGCCAAAATAATCGCGAATGCATAGAAAACACAATGCAAAAATTTACCTTCCTAAAATTAAATCTTTAATTATAAAATTAATATTTTAAAAGTACACACGCGTAAAACCAAAGTTCAATATATCACTTATAAAACTTTAAAAAAATATATTGCACATATTTGTTACTGCTCCTGGCGCTCTATTAATTATGATTAAATTTGTGCGTTGGAATTGTTCGTTAGCGCGAAGGAAGCGTGGCAAATCGATTTGGCACGTTAATTAGTTTTAGAAACGTTACACACAAGTTGTATATTATTTAGTATTAGTAATAAATTACGTGTATTTGCTTTAAATTAAATATTTAATTGTTTTTTAAATCAAATTTAGAACAAAAGTAATTCATTATTGAAGTTAAATCTCAATAATGTATAAAAAAAAAAAAAAAAAATGCATGCATCTCTCGAATATCTATTTTTACTTCAAGTATTCTATTTTAGCGAACGTCAAGTGATTCACAGTCGAGACAATTTTGACGCTAGTTATGTTACTTGTAGTTACTTGTTTTTACTTGTAGTTTCTAAAATTTACGAAAAAACGACGAGCAATCTATTAAAATTCGACGATGTTTTAGCAGAAGCGTATCATCTTTTCTCTGCTGTTTGACTAATTTGTTGGCTGCGTTTAAGAAGGCCCCTTTTTAGAAAGGAAAATCGGAAGATAAATCACAGAGAATAATATGCAGAGAAGAAGATGCATCATGTACTAGTGTTCGTAGTTTTCGCGATCGCGACGATAATGGATATAATCAGCTTTTGATAAAAGTGCACAACTGACGTTTTGGCAGTTAGTTAACTTTCATATTATATAACATATATATACGTATATTTATATACGTATATATATATATATATTATACTACCATGATCAAAAAATAACCGGAATTTTTAATTTAAACCTCGCGGGCTTATCGGTTTAGAATTCTGTTGTTTGTGTCACGTTGGCAGCAAAGCTTCAAGGGGTGGATCAAACGCTGGCACAAGTGCATCGCAGCCGACGGGGACTACTTTGAAGGGGACAACTTGAATTTTGAAGAATAAACATGTACTTTTCTTTTTATGAATAAATTCTGGTTATTTTTTTTATCATGGTATATATATATTATATATGTATATATGGCATGCGCGTTTTTATCACCGACGCCGGGTGCGATTATGGCCTCTCTCTCATCGTTTCTATAATAATCTTTATAATATCGACGAGATAACGACAACGACGCGAACGATGTACATACCGACGCACGGCGTCACAGGCAAAAAAGACACTTCATTCTTGCTATAGAAAAAACTGATATATATATATATATATATATATATAGAGTGATAGAGAGAGAAATATGGAAATATTTTACCTTCACTTTTCGCGACTCATACGCAAAAAGTCGCGCGTTATTCTCGAGCCAAGCAAATCGGTCGTAAGCTGCGTGCTTACAGCAGCCACGTTAGTGTGCCTCGTATTTTTCGCGCGCTGTTCTATATTCAATAGACAACTGGTGACAAAAACGCATATATATATATATATATATATATNATATATATATATATATATATATGCGTTTTTCTCACCAGTTGTCTATTGGAATTGTCGGCGCATCACCAGCTTTCCGCACGCGAATCCTCTCTCTCACTCTCACTCTCTCCACGTTCGAATTACAATTGTCTCTCTTTCTCTAGATGCCAGTCCGACGAAAGCGTTCGAACTCACAAGTAACAAAATATACACCCGATATATAACAAAGAAGAGACAACCGACTCCTCCGGAGCCGTTTCTCAGAGCTGCGCGACACACTTTTCCCCTCTCGCGAAAAATAAACCGAGATCGGACAGCGGGACTCGTCGACCTTCGAATCAGAAGTCTTGTCCTTCTGAAAGCCGGCGATCGATGACTGCGACCATCCTGCATTCTTATGTAATACTAACACAGCGTAAATGTGAGTACACTTACGTACGAAAAAACACACTTGTCTCGCGATTAGGCCTGTGTATTTCTTCCGCGACGTTTCACGGCAAAAATGTAAACTCGCTCGGGCAAAATGACGCGTGTTTTTGACACTTCTACGTTCCGATATGTCTACAATAACCCCTTTGGCTGAGTGATATTATTGCTCACGGCGCATAGTTTTCTATGACGGCAATTTTAATTTCGTTTACTTTTGAGCAACAATGTGTGTGTACAATACTTTTCGTTAGAATTGTTTTTTTTCTACAATTATTTGTTTTTTTCTGATCGATAGGCAAAGAGATAAAATTATAGATTTTTTCAAAGAAAAAAAAATATCCTAATTGTTTTTAGATTTCAAATTCGGGATTAACACAAAAGGAAGGCACCACACTTTTGTTTTTTTTTGTTTTTTTTATCTTGTTTCAGTTTCACAATATTCATTTTCCCACGTTTTGGAACTGATGTTTCTGTCGGGATTTCAACTCGGAGGCATCGCAAAATTTATCGTCGCGTTTTACAAGCGCGACGTCTGAGACGCGCGCGGTTTGCCCGTCGTTTCTTTCAGTTTCCTCTCGTTTCGCCGTATGTGAAACTTTCCCCTTCTTTATTTTTCGTATACCTTTACACTCTATTTCTCTCTCTCGCTCTCTCTCCTCGCGCATCGATATATCACTGTAAAACCGCTCGTGTCCTTCCAGCGGAATCGAGGCAGGAACAGTTCGCTTCGCTGCCCAATGTGTCGCCGATAAATTATTTCCTTCTCTCTTCCTCTTTCAGCGGGGCGTTATTTATACGATTCCGGCGCGGCCGCTGAAACTCCTTCTATTGACGTGTATAAGCGCCGAAAGAATCCGCTCGATCTACTAACGATCTGTGCTGATCGCGATAAAATCTATAGTCTAACTTTCCTTATCTACATCGTCTACGTTGGCCGTGAAAATTGAAATATCCGTTTTTCCTCGGTCCAGCAAATGCGGCCGATTAAGCGACAAGAGTTGCGCAGGCGACAGCGAGGATGACGGATGACAGCAAGATCGTCGACGAGCCGGATTGAGACGGGTCCGGATGAGTATTTACCGAGGTATCTGAAACGAAGAGTGCAATCAACTCACTACTTGTTGTTGAAGAAATAAATTGAGTTTCTTTTTTCTGATATCTTCGAAGGATATACGACATCTGTGTAACATGTACCGCGTTGTAGCAAAAAAAAAAAAAAAAAAAAATTTCCTCTTGAGAATAAAATCCCGTCGCGAATAAATAACCATATATATCCGATACACGCTACGTACACACGGAATTCACCCTGACAATGGCGCGTCCCGACCGCGAATATCGGGGAGCTGGGATTATCGAAATGCAAATCAATGCGGACGTATGCGGCCAGACGGAATACATATATAGTATATACAGTACCTGTTGTCGTCCGGAATGTCGGACCCATTCCGGAGCCGGACGCCTCGTCGTCATCGCGATCGTCGTTGTGAACATCCTCGTCATCGTCGATCCTGCCGTGCGGCCAGGCCGGTTTGTCACCGCTTCCGGAACCTTCGAGGGCCTCGTCGCCCAGGAAAGCACCACCGTCGGGCGACGTCGCCAATTGAGATTGCACCACCTGCCGGGAGAAATGCGGGAGAACGACATCGGTATAATCGTGAGTTATCACACATCGCATGAATGTGTCGAGCGAGTACTCGATTTCGACGATAGAACGACCGGCGACTGGTTATTATTATTATCAAGCATTGTTGAATGAAATGCTTGTTGTAAATTGTCAATCACATTGCTCGGTGAATTGTGCTTTGTGTGTATAGAATATATAAATAAAAAATAAGTGAAACAAAATACTCGAATTCATGACGTTCCTGGTGCATGTAGTTCAAAAAGTATTACGACAACAATGGTCCTCCGCGGAAGGCGTAGATGATTCGAGTATCTGTTTTGATAACACGTAAAACAGTGTAAAACAGCGCGAATATCTTTATGCGCGATATTTATATATAAACATAACACAGCACGTTTATATTAATTTTAGCAACACTGAATTTAATATCTAGCCGATGACTTCTCGAATATAAGCGAGGCAACATGTGTGGCTCTCAAGTGAATTATCGGTTATACTCTGACAAATTATGCAAAAGTCGTATTATGCGTTTATTCAGTTGCTGCCGTGTGATTATGAAAATAAAAAAAAACGATAACTATATTGATTTTGTCGCTGAAGCACGTTCAACCGTCTCTCATTTTTTTTTTTTTTTTTTTTTACAACAAGATGTCAATTAACCCACACACGCCGCGAAGATATAAACGCTGTCCAATTAAAAACCCACGCGTTCGTCCAAATCGCATCTAGTCGCACGCAATTACGAGGACATGGATTTATGTGTTCCGCGTGAAAATGTCTACTGTCGATAGCCGGCTTCTAATACACCGACATTCGTCCCAACGACTCGTAACCATTACTTAACGCTCGCACCTGCCAATAATATCTCCAATCCGCTATTCAACACTTGATTTTCTGACTTATTGCACGTCGTCGCACGATTACGCGCGTATCCCAAGTTACTATACGGTGTGCGTTACGTTTTGATCGAATTTTTCGCGGAATCTTTTAAGAGAGATTTTACTTCCTCTCTCTCTCTCTTCCTCTCGTCGTATAAAATAAAATTCTGCATCTCTCGTCTTGCAGCATCATCTCGTCGTGCGAACAGACAAACCGAAAGCGAGCCCGGGCGAGCCCGCCTCATTGAGGGATGTGTAACCGCTCGAAGACAAACGGCACAGTGTTCGTTTGATCTCGACCACTGTGTACATACGTAGTACATACGCGCGTACACGCGGCGTGTATCTAGCGACGTTCTAATCAGAAGTAAACGGTCCGATTTCTCGGCACGCAAATTAACATGCGTGTAGGCACCGCGCGTGTGTTTCCACACACGCGCCGGTTGCCAACTCTGCCGACGTTGCGGCGATTTTCTGAGCGAACACGAGAGAAATACTAAGATAAGAATCGAATGTGACGATTGTAATTTATTGTTAAAAATACTTCGAAAGCTCTCGCGCTTCGACGGAATCGACTTTGACGTTTTCTTTTTGCACTCGATGCAATTACAATTTTTTCCACAACTCCATGAGAAATCGAACAAGATATGAGCACCTGCATGTACGCGCTCTCAGGTGAGATCCATCCACGCGCTCTTTGAGCGCGCGCGACACGTGCCTCATGCTCGGTGTACCGTTCGCGTGATCTATGAATAATTTCTAGATTAGACAAGAATTTATGATTCGTCTGGCGCGTTCGTCTAGGAGTTACGGATCACCGAGCAGGTTTTCCGACGGCGTTGTCGATGATCGTTTTGCGAATCGTGACAAATAGTCGCAACAAAAAATAATTCGCGCCACGGAAAATGTAATTTGTAACAAATCTGTGCCGAGAATCGAGACGGATTTCCGCGCGGTAACAAACTGTTTTGTCGCAATATCAAAAAAAAAAAAAAAAAAAAGAGATGGCAAACGTGATTTTTGTTTCTGCGCGCTATTTTTGTTCGAATTATTCCGAAGTGTTTTGATCGGAAGTAGTAGCGATGTTGAGTAACACAATGACGTGGACGTGGTTTGAATTGGCAGGCAAATGAAAATTGCGGCACGGCTTAATGCGAGAGAGCGACAAATCCACTCAGAACCGAGCGGCAAATTACGTCTTTATGTACTCACCTGATTAATGTGCCTCAATTGATCAATGAGCGCGGTGGTGTTCGCATTGCCGGCATAAGTAGCCGGCGTTGACATCATCGTTACCGTGAACTCAGGATTGTATCGTTGAGCGTTCGGACTGACATCTACCACGGTTTTTGCGTATCTGAAATCATCATACGTAAAAAAAATTCATTTATAAAACATTTATTTTTAGATACCGCTGCTTTCAAAGAAATTTTTAAATATAGCGAAGTACCGAGCGAAATGCATTTCCATCCCAATGCGAATTCAATTAACGTGTAAATTTTAAGCCGTATCTCTCTCTCAATACCGTGCGTGGCTTCCAGTTTTCAATATGATAAACTGCATCCTATCTCTCTCACTCTCTTTCTCTCTCTCTCTCTCTCGGATGTTTGTTGCCCAAACCACTACCAAACCAGACAGACAAGCTTGTATTTATATATTTATTAGGATCTTAATGAGGCGTGATATCTAGCTATATTTCAACGTAGAACGACTAAATCACCCGGTCAACGACACAGCGCAGAGGAATTTTTTTCGGTTTTTACATTTTTATTCATCGTAAACTTCTTTTTCTTTTCAGAGATCTTTCTCAAGATAGACGCGGAAAATTCCGGAAGTCGATCATTATCGGATAAAAAGTTAAGCAATGAATTTTTGTCCGAATAATCTCAGCACATATTTTCCAACACGTCTGTTTTGATCGCTCTCGCGTTCGCAGAAACGCAACGCGAGAGAGAAAGAGAGAGAGAGAGAGCAATCGATAGGTTCGCTTCGGAGTTATCTTACGCGCTTCTATCTTCCACCGGGGTGCTGACCGACAAAAGAGACAAATCGCGTCGCTTCGTTCATGCTGCTTCGCGGAATACGCCTTCCGTTTTCGATCGCCGCGTGATTAAATGCCCGTATGAATCAATGAACCGGGAACAAATGTATCCGCAAATAGTCCAGAAGCCAGCGATATACTGTGGCTATACAAAGAGCACGGCTATTTATTATCATATTATTATGTCTTTACACATTTATCGTTATCATAAATAATGTGTAACTTAAGATTAACTGCTGCAAAATGTGCGTTGTAAAACAAAACGCGAAGTGAATATATATTTTCGCAAAATTACATCGCACTCTTATTTATTGTTCATATGTACATATTTTTATATTGTTTATCTTTATATATATATATATATATATATATATTATATATTTTATTTTTCTTTCAATATTTTAGCCAAATATACGTTGCGTTAATTACACGTTTTAATTAATCTTTGTCGCTTTCTTTACGTCAAAATACTTCTGCTATAATATTCGCGCGAAAAAATATTACACGATACGGCAAAATAAGCGTGTTCCAAAGCATTCAAGATATCTAGATAACCTCGATAGCAAATTGAAATATTGCCCTGGAGTCGCAGGACCGGCTCTTCCCGGTGCTCCTGTGAATGCCGGCCATTCACGAAACGACCTCCTACGAGAGATCGTCCCTTCATTCCTCTTCGCCCATCCCTCTTCTCGTCGCGTACATGACGCACCCCACAGTTTTCTCGTACCCACCCATCCTCACCAACGATTTTCTTGGTAAACTTTCCTCCGCTGCTTTTCCGCTAAATCGCACCCTGCGGCGGCGTACCTCTCTCGGGGTCATATTTTCCTGCAAAACGCTATACAGAGGACGTGCCTTTCCTCTTATGGACTCTTCGACCGACTTACAAAGTTGTATTATAGATATGTACATATATATTTTTATATTATTTTTAGATGTTTTATGAGTTTAATATATTCATACATGTAAAAACAAACAAATCGATATAATCAATTTTATTTCTATTATTTTAAAAGACGCTAAAAGATTAATTATACAGCGCGCGTCTTGCCCGCGCCCCACCTGTCGCTTCCTTCACCTTTCTTTTAGCTCGAGTACCTCTTCATCTCTCTGTAGCGCAATCCGTTCGATCTCGACGGCGGAGAAACGAAGACCAGGTGAAACAAGCCGACAAAAACTGGTTCTCGGCGATCGAGCGCGAAAACTATCCGGTCGAGAACGGCGCGCATTTCCACCTCGATATGTTGACCGCCTGTTTCGATAATTGCCGTCGCGATCGAAAAAGAAACCGTAGAAGAAAGGAAAAGAGAAATACGCATACGCACATATGACACTTTGTCTCTTTTGAAAACAATTTAACTCTCCTTGCGATATTTGACACCGCAAACGTAACGTTTTTTTCGTAATTAGCTTAAATTGAACGCCCGTTTAGATGGAGTCCGTTCGAGATTGAACAAAAGAGGACTCGCGGAGCTCTCAATTTGCGAAAGATTAGACTTTTAGCAGCCGTAAAGTCGGAAGTTCTTTTCATCTTTTCACCAGTGCGGGAATATCCACTGCAGATTGGTCAAAGAATCCGTGAATGAAAGGAGACGCCGAGGAATGCCGGGGCCCCTTTATGCCATACACACACACACACATATATATATAGGTAGTTCTCTCTCTTTCTCTCTCTCGCTCGCTGCTGAAACGTACATCGATTTTCAGACGGTCGGTCGGTCGAGAGACGTGGAACGGGGATAGATTAATATTTCAATGCCGAGGAAGAGCGCCGAGAAATGCCGCCATTATTTCGCGGGATTCCAAAAGCGCGCGGAGGCCTCTATCATTTCGTACCGTATAAGACATTTCGTTTAGCTTCTGATTACAAGTACAACCCGCACCTCGGACAATTCTTTTCATTCCGAACGTGGATTTATAAAAGAACTGTATAAAATCTCTCTTACAGTTCGTACGCCGTACCGGTATGTATAAAATAAACGGGAATAGCTTTTTTATCGGAAAACAATCTTCTCGTTGCTACATCTCAGATATATAAAATTAAACATGTTAAGCTTCGTATTGGATTTTCGCTTCAACAAGCTCATTTTACGTAAGAAGCGCTGATTACGCGAACGAACAAAAAAAAGTTCAATTAATAGAAACGATTTGTTCTTGGTCGGCACTGAAGCGCTAAACGCAACTAAATTAATTGCGATTAAGTCTGTCTCTCCTTGATGGCCGGATACAGAGGGTTCTCACGATCGCGAGGATTATCTGTCATGGAAGTTCCGCGAGAATGACAAATTAGAAGAAAAGAAAAGTGCGGACGTCGCGGTTGCGGGAAAATAACGATGTTAAATAAGCGCAAGTGTGAAAAACGCTTTGCAAGCGTCGAACGTTTATTGATCCCGACTCTTGGAATTGGTTATTTCGTTAAAATTATTCTCACAATTACAATATCGCAAGGTTTAATGGAGGTTTTTTTTAAATAACAATTTTTTTTTTAAATAAAACGATATCGTGCGATCAATCTATTTCTTCTCTCTTCAACGCGACGACAACGCAAACAGACGAAGATGTTACACAAAGAGTCTATATCTGACATTTGACTCGCTTCTGAAAAAGGTTACATTTTTATTGATGCATTCGCGACAAATGGTCCGTGCGGCTCTCTATGAATGACTCGTTATTCACGTTGTGCTAGAACATTGATATTCCAGGAGATACTATCACTCGGAGGCTCGGTGTATAACGCCATCATCCATTGGCACGTATAGCGCGAATGCATTATTTATAACATATATCGTCTGCGATTCGTTCCCGTTCGAACGACCAATCGGATAAACATATGCTAATATATCGTCCGCAGTGTTCGGCATCAGTCGAGCGTGTCGATGAAGCCGCAGCTAAATTAGAAGAACGATCGCATCGCGATATGCGCAATACATCAATGACGTATCTCTCTCGCTCTCTCGCTCTCTCTCTCTCTCTCTCCTGTGTTTTAATATCTTGTAAAACCTTCATCACCGAAGAAGATAATTAAATATCAATTTCAAGAAAGTAATTAAATAACTTCGAATAAATAAATGTAGATTACCTTCGCGAAATTTATATGTTTGATTATCTTTGACAATTCATATTAAAAAAACAAAAGATTAATTGCCAATGTGTTTGGTGACATTTAAGCAATTTAATTAAGAAGTCAATCCAGAGTTATTAGATAACTAAAAAGTATTTCGGAAAGTTAAAACGCAGTCTGGAAAGCACAAAATTGCGGTATTTTGTTACTCTTATCGAGAGACAGCAAATGAGAAGTTACACAAACGGAAACCACTTGAAACGAGTAAAACACGTAAACGGAAACCGTATAAATGAAAACGCCTTAATTTGAAGTTTTTATGCAGTTTTACCGAGACTGCTGCCTCGCGCAGACAGCTGGCAACTTCATTAACAGCTAATGGATCGCCAACTGTTTGCCTCTTCAAGTATTCTACACACAACAAACTGAAAATTTTCAAGCGTAGCTTTTTCAAACGCGGCATTTTCGCGCTCTTTTGCACGTGTGCTCACTCGTCTTGATTTAATTATAAAAGTTTTTATTCGCGGAGTCTCTCTGTTGTTTTCTCTCTGTTTTTCTCTGTTTTTTTTTCTTTTTTTTTTTTTTTTGATGTGAAAACGTTGCACAATCTTTTTTACGTCATAATTCGTATAACACACGCTCCAATTAGTCCCGTGGCCGTCACACAGTCGCCCGTTCGATCTCTCCGTCGGCGCACAGGACGAGAGATCGATGAGTATGCGCGCGAGCGCACGGCGCATCGTCATCGCATTCACGCGTCGCGTTCGGTGTTGGGATTTGCGACGTGTAATCCTTCGCCGATGATCCAGTCATCGTCGGGGAACTCGCCTTCCGAGGCGGCTACGTGATCAGCCGGTCATCACGAGACGAAGCGCTTCTTCAGCCGTGTCGGGCGAGGAGACGACGATATACGGTTTCATCTCGCGATTCAGATATCAGGTTCCGCGGTTCATTACGATCGAACGAACGCGTTACAGGGTATATATATATATATATATATATATATATACATGATAATATATAACATATATATATATATATAATGAATATAATATAGGGCGCGGAAGGCACGAGAGAGAACGAGGGCGATTGAAATCGTTCCCGCATTTAAGCTGACGTCCAAGCGTTCGCCGCATGTATCAATATAACGAGAGATATCGAATAATGGATAATTACAGCCACTTAACCGGGAAGTATAATCCAACCGGGATGTATAGTGCGAAAAGTGAATAAAATGAAGCGAGCTCACACACACACACACACTTACACACGCATTCTCAAAGCTTATTAAAATTACACGTTCGAATATATAGCGACGAAAAAAAACTTCGTTTAACATGGATATGTAGAAAAACATCATTTGTTACGATCGTTTTTTATCCTTTAATCGAAAGATGACATTTAAGCGATAGCACTCCGAGGAATTGAATCTAAATAACAAATTGTAATCAATAAAACAAAGTTCAACACACGACTTCATCCGTGGTATTATTAGCTTTTGTTGACCTTCACCTCCTCTCAATTGGTCTCATTTGAGGTTTTAATCTTAAATTAATAACACTCTGTGTGATGAGAGTCCAGTTAAATCATAAAAAGCAACATTTCCCTCTTTTTTTAATCTCATATTTACTTCGCAAACAGAAAATTTGCCAAGAATATTAAAGAAAAAAACACTACATTACGAAGAAGTTTTCACACCAAGCTAGAGTGTGGCAATTGCGTCGCATTCTGCGGAGCGTTGTAATAAAAGGTTTAAAAAACAGCGGGAAAAGTAAATCTTTTGCACGGGATATCAAGGCTGATAAAGGCTGATGTCGCGAAATGGAAGAATGTGAAGTGAAACGAGACACACACACACGAGAAAAGCGACGAGAAACAGTAGAACGGACGATCTCGCGATATCGTGACCTCGTGGCTGAGATGAGTTTGACTGCGTCGTCGTCGTCGTCGTCGTCGTTGTGCGGCGCATCGCGATCCGCATTACGGGCTCATACGTGCGCACCGCGTTATCCGTGTTATCCGCGTGTATCCATCGTGTACGTGTGCACTCACACACGTTCCCCAGGTACCGGGCGACGCTGCGGCGCCCGTTTGCTCTCGTTGCCAGACTCTTTGGCGGCCTGGCGTCCTACAGGCTATACTGTCTCTTTCCCTCATCTTCCTCTCATCCACCTTCGTCTCTTTCAGCTTCGATCTCTCTCCCGCGAGCTTACATCCGAGTTTCCTAGTACCGTTTTCAAATAACGACCTCTTCGCGACACTTGAGTAACTTGAGAGTATGTGACTCAATGGAATTATCAGGTTTTGTTTTTTCTTTTTTGTTTTCAAACTCTCAATTATCTGTTTTTTCTTTCACAAATACGCGCGCGCGCGCGCGTATCTTGAAACCAATCTCGGTCCAAAAATTCAAATTTATGACGATCGCCAAAATTCATCGGAGAAAGAAGTAAATCAAATTATCACTTCTCGCGTCAATTAATTAATTAAATTCACTCACGCGTGAGAAATTTACAATTAGCCGAATCACGTCACGTGAGAGTTATTGTGTTTTCTGGAAACCGAGATATATGTATGTATCCGCTCAAAATATATATCGAGAGAAGCACCGCTTTTCAATCAAATCTCCCCTCGCTCGAATCGTATTACCCGATTTGAGGTCGCGCGCGCGAGCGTTATACACATATAGTGTATACACTATCGAGGGGGAAGAAGCGAAAACGAGCGGTTTCACTTTTCGCACGGATCGAATCGTGCGGAATCGCGACGGCTTCCTTCGGCGGATCGAATCTCATTTAGATTTCCAGCGTGAGATACACTATACTTGTATGTAGCACGTCGAGAGGCGCGCGAGAGAGCCTCTTCTGGTGGTGGAAGCCGCGGCACGCGACGCCACGTTATTTATGGTGGTGTATATGCTAGACATATATACACACGCACACACACACACACGTATATCTTATATACGCGCGCGCGCGTGTGCGTGTATCTGTGCATACCGACTGTGGTGACTGTGCGAAACTCTCGCGTCAACTCGAATAAACCTGGATTTCAAGAGATTTAACGGCCGCCTCTGCCGGGAATACGTTATCGGTGGTCTCTCTTTCGCGATGGCTGCGCGCTACTGCTTGCTGCAGCTGGGACGCGAGCGCTTGCTCCAACAAAATTGCATCCACACGGGTTTCTTCTGCGTATCACGCGCGCGTGATGTTTACAGAGAAACTTTTCGCGCGCGGAATACAAAGGAAAAAACTTTGGGCGAGAAGAAAAATTGAAGACCCGCAAGAGAGAGAGAGAGAAAAGTATCGCCGCGCGCGCGCGCGCGCGTGTAACGTTGTGCTAAAAAATTTTTTCGTCTCTGCACAGAAGTGGGACGAGATTATCTTTAAGATAAGTCGCGCTTTGCGAAAAAGCTTCGCTTGTGCGATACTTACAACGAAGCTTCTTTATATTACAATTTAAAACCGAGATTCATCTCGGGCTCTGAAGTCTTTAAAATTAATAAATTAATATGATTGGTCGTTTAAGAGCCGTTCGCTGGATGTTATGCGGGAAATATGTCTATATATATATGTGCGTGTGTACACATATATAATCGAATTCACGTTTTTCACGTGAGTTTTTTGAATTGTAATTACAATTCTAATAATCATATAGGATGCTCAATTTTGCATCTCGTATACGAAGAACCCCCCCCGAATATCCCCCCAAATTAATTTAAAATATTACGAAAAAAACTCCTCAGCCAGGAGTCGAACCTGGAATCTCCGGGTTCTTTATATTGTTAACGGAAAACGTCACGTTGAGATATTTTATAAGAAAATAATTGGCTTTCTCAGTGAAAAATTTCGGGTTTTTCGCCGCAGTCGAGACCGTTCGTCGCGTTTGATTATATCTCTCAAATTATGTTCCGCCCAATCGATTATATATATATATATTATCACCAAAGTAACTCCGGAATTCGCTCTCTCGTTCCAATGCTACTCTCATTTCACGGTCGAGTGACAGCATCTCGAGTGGACAATAGTTGATAAAGGCAAAAGCTTCTCGAGTTGCTCACTATCAAGCGGCCTCTTTTCCAGTTATGTCCGATACAAGATTAATTAAGTGCGGATTCGATCAGCCGGTCAAATGGCACCATCGATCGCGAGAGAATAATTCGGTGCGTGAGAAAATAGCTTCCTACTTAAACACGAGGAATCGCAAATCGGAAGGAGAAGATAAAACGACGACGGTTTGTTGTGGCGGCACCTTAACGACGAGCGGCCATCCGTCCGTTGATTAATAAGGGTGCGAGGAGCTACCTTCGCGTTCCATTCTCCCGCGCTCTTCGCCCGTTCCCGCTTTCTCGCGTCACGATCGTTCCCACGAAAGCGCATTTCGCAGCGGTTCGGATTTTGAGCGACGGCAGTTTCGATTAGCGAATCGCGTTTGTTAACTTCTTCGCATGCGCCCATTTATTCTCCGGCGTTTATATTCGCCCGCATCTCTCCTCGGGCGTGACGTCATTTTTTCTTTTCTTCATTGAGATCGTCCCACCCCGCAATAAAACGCGCGTTTAGAAAAAATGAAAGTTTATATATGCGCCTTCTAAACGTTTGGGTTTTTAGTAATTTATCGCTTGCACAAATTCTGTCTGTACTCACTCCCCAACACGTTCGCCGTTCCAGCAATGTGTGTCGCCGTACTCCTCGCAGACCGTCTCCGCCAGCGTGCCATAGAAGATACGAGACCTGACGACACTTGCCAGGAAGTTACCAAGCTGTTTGTGCAAATCGTCCAGCGGGCCGCCATGAGGCGAGTTCTTCACCACGGTTGCGTGCGCGCTGAGGGACGCAGTTGATTTCGCAGCTGCGTCCGAGGACACCGGGCTTTTCTCGCCCGGCGGCAACAACTCCGAACGACCGCACACCTTTCTCACCTGAAATTCAGACACGTCAATCAGAACTCACATGCGACTAACACTTTAGATAACTAATCGAATTAAGATCCGAAATGTCACTAATATCGAGAGTTTTTTTTCGTTACGTTAAAGAGTAAATATTTCAGAAAGTTACTTTGTATAAAGTTTTTGTGTTTTATAATAAACTTCAAGTTATTAAAAATATATTACAAGTAAAAACACATTCCTTCTTTGAATTACATATTCATCTAAATAATTGGATTATTAAATCTCAAAAAAAAAAGAGCAATAGAAAAATTCACGAATGAAAGATATGGGGGGGAGGCTAGCTAAATGTGCAAGACATCTTATGTTATCTACGCCGCAGCACCTGACTTCATATGTATATACGGCATAAACTCGATACATGCATAAAGATCAGCCTGCTTGAGGAGCTTTTGCCAGCCACGGCTGCGGAGTACTTGTTGGAAAGTGTCGCGCGTCGCCTTGCGAAACGGCTTGTTCCCGTTTCGAACGACGTCAATTTCTCGACGATTTAATAGGCGATGCGCCCTGACAGTTTTTACACTCGGCCGCGTCACGCCACGTTTCGGCGTGTTCACGCGTTAATCAAGACGTGCGCGCGCGCTCGCGTACACATACGCGACAGCGCATCTCGGAGTATTCTTCTGTTCCCAAAACTTACCGGTCTCTTATTCTTGCTCGTGTTTTTGTTGTTCTAAAGTGAATAAATATAAAACACAGTGACAGACGATGACGATGCTCGTAGCATTCGGAATTTTGCGAGACTTTGCGGAAAATAGTAACGTGGGTCTTTTTATAACGTAACGTGTCCCCGACCAAGCTGGTCCGAAAACGTGGCTTGCCAAAACTGCAACTTTTCGCGTCTTCTTCTTCTTCTTTTGCAGACCTTGTGTGCATGTTTGTCTGTACGTGCGGCACAGACCCCGAGGTAATCTAAGGTGCATTCACAACGATCACGTACAGGAACTCGCAGGTATTTCAGCCAGAGCTTGAGATTACGGATCGCTATTTATGGCCTTGGCTACGCGAAGGCTCGTTGAGATTATCTCGCGTGACGATTATATAAAATCTGTATTTAAGTAACTAAAAAATAAACGTATTATCAATCAGGCTCGATTGCCAAGATAGATAAGATAGTTTTTTTTTTTTTTTTTTCAAAGCGGAAGTACCTCGTCGAAAGAAATATATCTCGCTCGACACACAGAACAGCTCGACGTCAAGTTTATCAAAATGATTTTGTTTCGAACAAAAACCAAAATTATACATTTTTCAACTCCATCATTCGTTCTTTTCTCATCCCACAGTTTGTACAAAGCAAGAAAAGTCTTTCTTACCGTAATTTTAACGTAACGATCTTTTTATACGAACGGCGAACTATGAAACTTTTCCGGCCGAGAAAAAAAAAGTTGCCCAAGAATTTGTCTTTTTACGTAGAATGAAAATAAATCGATCGCGAGAAAGATCGAGGCGTGCACTCGGATCGAGAAGGCGTTTATCGTTTTATCGCGCGCTTTCGTACAATAGCCATTAAGATTATCGTTGACATCTCCCGCGAGAGACGGTTCCCGCGCTGCCTTTCCGTCCTAATTACTTTTTAACGCGGCCCATAAAAGGAAGCGAGGCCCCGCTGGACGATCCGCTCGGGCTCCTCGAGGCGGGCATAATCGTAAAACCGGCCGGTCGGGCGTAATTAAGACGGCACGCGTGGGCGTTCAAACGTCGCTCGCTCTCTCGTCTCGTCTCGTCTTCTCGATCTCACGTTCTTTTTTGTTTCTCGCTCTCCCACTCCTTTCTCGAGACCTCTTCCTTTTCCTCCATTTTCTCCACCTTCTCTCTTCTCCTCCTTCGAGTTATTTAGGCATAAAGATAAAGTAACAAAAGCAAACTTTGAAAACCCACAAAGAGAGAGAGAGATCGCCGACCGAAACACAATATCAAGTTCTCGCTGTGATTTTGCAGAATAAATTGTTCGCGGAAATACCAATGTGAAATGGAGTAGTCATATTTTATTATTATTTAGTTTTTTATATATGTAGGAACAAAATTATATTTCGTATTCTTGTGGAGAAAATATTATATATCTTATTTGTCGTATCTTTGTCGTGTCTCTGTATTAACGGCGAATGTTTCATAATAAACCTGTATATTTGCGCGACAGTAGAGGTGACAAATATTATTTGTCCTCACCTCTGCTGTATTCGTTGATTATCGATTACGACTCAACCGACAGATTCGAAATGAAAAACAGAGTCGAAGTAAANGGTATAAAGCCGAGAGACGACAGAAGATCAGAATCCGCCGAAAACACAAGACGCCCGAAGATTTTTGCGTGCTCTGACTTAGTAGCCTAGAGTATATAAGTTTGTTTTTCTTTTATTTATTGGCTTCGCATAATTAAACAGACATTATAATTATTTATTAAATTATTTATTTATTTATTTATTTAATCCAACAAAATTTCCTACATATATATACTCTCAAATAATGCGACAGTTGTATGACCGTTCCGCACGCTCGATTTTTCCCAAAAATTCATATCTGCGAAGTTTCGCTCCGACAAAACGCGCGTGATGCAATCTCGCTCGTGTAATTTCATCGTGCGAGATATGACGTAACCGAGAAGCGGGATTACAGTCCGTCCAAAAAGGGCAGATAAAGGGAAGTGTTGGTAAGAGAAAGAATGAGAGAAAGAGACAGATTGTCGAATTGTAGTCGGACGAACGAGATGACAGTATCAACGCGAATAAATCTCCGACCGTAAAGCGCGCGCGGAATCTTATCGAGAGAAATTTCGCGCCCGTCGTCCCCATTCACTTACACGCAAAGGCTTTGCTCCCTCGTCGGGACCGGGCTTTACCCTTGACCCGCTCTCTACGGCAAGTGGCAACAATGAGTTCCGTTTCTCACTCGCGGGACAAATGAGGCGGATTAGAAAATTAGGATGTTATCGCTTAACGCCCTCTCGCTCGCACGCATCGAATAATATCGCAGCAAGTCTCAGAACATACGTATGCGTAAGAAATAAATGCCAACGCTGTTTTCACTCATCGAGATTGCGATAGCAATGTGTGTTGGGGTAATCCAGTCGCTCGAAAAGTTTTCCTCCTCTCGTTAACGCTGAATTAATTAGTCGTGTCATTAATTAAAATTATTTCATTCAATTTAATATCAGTCGTGAAAAATTTGTTAATTAAAAAAACTGTCTCTACTTTTCAAATTATATAATTACATCTCTTGAATTCACGCTTAAAAATTTTATATATTAATCCTTTGACAGCGGACTTAAAGGACTTTTTGATTCGTCGATTAGAGCTTCGATTAGCCGTGCTAAAAAAAGAATTTTTTTTTGCCAGAAAGAAAAACCGTATCGTTGGACCAATAATAAACCTCTAGTCTACTATCGAAGAGTAAAATATCTATTTTTACTTGTAATTACATATTGCGCGCTTCAACTTGAATGTGTAAATCTCATCCCTCTCTTGAGTACTAGTTCTAAAAGCGCATCTTTTATATCTTTTTCTAATCTCAAATTATCATCTAAAATTGAATCTAGATCTAGGCGGATAAAAAAGTAGCCCCTCGCACCGATTTCGACCGCGAAAGGAAATACCCCAAAAGATAAACTCATCAATCTTTTTGTCGTATATTCGACGACGAGGGTAGTAATTGTGATATCGATACCACACAGCGCCGTAGATATCCATGTCAGCGATAAACCGTATCGATAATGGGACGAACGAGGAACGAATGAAAAGACCATTTGAAACATGCCCGCGAAACTCGAACACGACGAAGCGAAGATCTCGTTTATTAGATAAGACGAGACCTCCTTTCGCGAAAATTAATTAAAATAGTGCGTATGTTCTCTCTCTCTCTCTCTCTCTCTCTTTCTCTCTCTCTATCTCTATCTCTTTTTTTCTCAATATTATGAATACCGCGTAAATTTTTTATTTTCCGTCCATTTCACAAATTATTTTATTCAAGAGAAAGAAAAAACCTGTCATTCATCAAATTGAGATCGAGGATTCTCCGTGGTAGTACGTATCGTGCTTAGTTATGGATCGAAATTGAGATTTCCGAGATCGACGACAGTGCCAGCGCGCGCAACGGACGACGCGGATAATAATACTTCTCGGCGAGGAGAACACGAGATCGCGCTCAACCGCTGATGAATAATAACGCATCCTGTTCCACCTACTACGAGAGAGACAATACAATTCCAAGGATCCTCGACCCTGCCGCCCGCACACACCCGCCCCGCCGTACGTACCTACGTCGTTCTCTCTGAGCGGCCAGTCTGTGCGCGAAGAATATAAAGTGCTATACCTATTTTGCCTTCCAGGCGGCGGCGCGTCCATCGAGTGACGCATCAGACATCTCCTATGGGAATGCACTCGGTGTCGCGGCGCGATATACATCCGGACCGACATACGTTACATCGAATCACCTCCAATTCTGCAAGTCACCGATTCAGACTCGGAACGATTTGGAAAAGTCATCGGGACAAAATAAATATTCCTGTGCGATTCTCCCGTTTTTGACCGTTGTCGTTGTATAAATCTATACAAAAAAAAAATATTTCTTTCGAGCAAAACACAGCAGAAAATCATCGTGCAAATTGTGTTGTTTTGTATATAGAATATAAACCTAAGCAGAAGAAATGAAAAAATATTCTCAAAAAAAAAAAATTCGAAGCGAAATATGTTGTTGTTCGATGCTGATACAAGAGATCTCGTTGAAATAAATTTGTATCAAACGTAATATTGCGCGACAATATCGAACTTCTCGAGCGGACACGCGACAAATTCCACGAGCGGTTGAACAAGAAGAGCACGAAACGACAACGAGACGATAGGGTGATCGCTCGGCGGCTCAAAGTTCAACCAATTTAGCCGCGGCGGTCGGTGACGTCAGAAGCGCGCGTTCGTTTCGGCTTCGCTCTCGCGATTAAAGAGAGAAAAGAATCGCGATCGTCGTTGTCTGCGGTGGAGAGA